ATACAAGGAATAAACAAGACCAAAGTTCCGTCTCCGAAGAATATCGATTGCCCGCCCAATGTCTGACCATTCAATACCGACCAGAAACCAAAGATCTGTCGGGTCCATTTATACTTTGAAAAGCGTGCAGAGTTCTACGAGCCATAGTGGAAATGCCTGGATAAAAAGAATGTTAAAATGCAGCCTAGTTACCGCCCTCTTTCACCTGCACCTGGTATGATGACGGAAAAACTAAATTGGCGGGACGTGTTAACCTCCATCCATCCGCTGCTTCTTCAAGCCGCTGCTCGACTAGTGACTAGAAAAATTAATAATGTTGTGGCAAAGGAGCTACCATATCGATCGTTCCAAGGAGCTCTTTACGTGGTGTAGTGATCTACCCTACAAATATCAGCGAATGGCCAAAAGATCGAATGTGTAGAACAAGCCTTTCTTGGGTTACAATTTCTTAAATCATTTCGGTCTGACTGCTCTAATAATAGATTAATCGATACAATAACTAATAACGCGATACCAACACCAGAAATTATGAACATCACAGTGGACCATGATAATTCTACCGACACGGAGATATGAAGAATTATGGAAAAATACCCAAACCTAATATCAACCGACTGCAAATAGTCCTATAGTCGAAAGGATTACTACTATTAACGAGATACATACATACATATTTAACATTTACAAGGACACAATCTCTCTCTCTAACTCTCTCTCTTTCTCTCTCTCTAACTCTCTCTCTCTAACTCTCTCTCTCTCTCTCTCTCTCTCTCTGATATGCTAAAGGACTTTAGACTTTCAACAGGAGAACTTTCTGATATGAGCTCATGAACTCTTTATTGTATATTTTAAGTGATATAACATTTTTATCAGTACGTGGAAAATATACCTTTGTACTAATTATCTTTGCATGCATTTTAAAAGGTTAAAAATCGGTGTATATTTGGTTGTGTGGTGAATAAGAAATAAAATTAACTCTTTGTGGAAAGAGGAGCTACCATATCGATCGTTCCAAGGAGCTCTTTACGTGGTGTAGTGATCTACCATACAAATATCAGCGAATGGCCAAAAGATCGAATGTGTAGAACAAGCCACATTAAATTTGATGTTGCCCAACCTCAGATGCGAATTTACCTGGATATTTGTGATTGCCGATATCACAAAACCTTTCTTGGGTTACGATTTCTTAAATCATTTCGGTCTGACGATCGACTGCTCTAATAATAGACTTTTTGCGGAGGTGAAGGTTGAATAAGTTGGAAAATTGATCAAAAAGCTATTTGGTTATATGAGGTCGGCTGCATGTATAAAATTTCACTCCCCCACAAACATTTAACTTTAGGTGTATCACACAAGGCTAACAAGGCAATGCAAAAGAATAATGTAAAACGAAATATTTATATATCATACTTATTATAAAACCTATGTTGTGTGTGTGTGTGTGTGTGTGTGTGTGTGTGTGTGTGTGTGTGTACGTTTTTATATTGGATCGGATTTCCTACATTTTTCAACCGATTTCAACAAAAATTACGTAAAATTACCTTGCGGTGGTTCTGACTGCGCCAAAAATTGGAAAAACACAATTGTTTTTGCACGCAATCAATATGAAAACACGATTAAGAGGCATCGCGAGAATGAAAGGGGGACAACTCATATCGAGTTATACTTAAAAACCCAGGTAGTGTTTCTTGTTGTCTTGCACACTTTTTTCTTTATTTTTACATTCAGAATGCTTTAAAAATTCCATTTACAAGACAATTGTTTACAATAAAATTCTATTCAATCGGTAGACTCATAACGATTGAAAATAATGTTTTTGTTTGAGTTTGGGTTTGACCAATTCGTAAAAAAAAAACAAAAAAAAATTAAGACATGCGTGTACGTCAACCTAAAACAATAATCTTTGTCAATTTTATTTTTCAGTCTTTATGATGGTGGATATTTGATCTATCTCTTACTGTTACATCCCCGGGCAACGCCGGGCTCTACTGCTAGTGAATAATAAAATTATCAAGAATAAACTGCTCAGAATTTTTAGCTGAGCTAAGCTGAATTTCAATGTTCAGTAGTGTTAATTGGGCAAATTAAAATGCTTTATAATGTTCCTTCAAAACAGTGTTTTTTGGTACAGAATTTTATTATACAAAAATAAGAGCTGTTAATCCTTTATTATGAATTTGTAGTGACTACTACTACGTTTGCCACGCCTACAGTTTTCTCAACTGTGACTGGTTAAATAATAAATACTGTTTACCACAGGACAATTTATTAATCGCAGTCACTACACTGAATTTTTTCTGCCGTGAATTTCACAAGCATGCTTTTGTTAGAAAATCGCACATTGGTTAATTTTTCATCCAATCATATATTTTCTGTGTTCGTTCATTGCTCTCGCCTTTGTTCCTGTAGCCTAGCAATAGTTATAAAAGCAGTGTTTTGTTCCAAAAATAGACAGTAGAATTCAGCAACTCACACGCGTCTACACAGACTATTGATTCTTACTCACTACGCACACACAAACACAGAAGTTGAATTACATTTCTCATTCGTTTTCTGTGAACAAGCCAAGTTACAAACCAACACTCTGTTAGTTATACAAATAACACACAACTGAATTAACTGTATGTTTTTCTGAATGCAACATTCTATTTCAACATAGAACTTTGAACATTCTATTCAAGAAACATTCTTAATTACATTTTATCTTATTCAAGCTAACAGATAAAGGAAAACTACTTTCTTTTCCTTAATATTCACACATTACAAAATTGTTTTGTATTTGTTGATTTTAATGTATACTTTATCGTTGAAACAAAAATCGTTTATTCATTGTTTTTCCTTGATTCAATAATGTATAAATGTTAAATGTTTTTCAACACGCATCCACATTAATCTTTTCAACATCGTACACAAGAAGCATTTACAAATTTAATTATTTGAAAACTTTTCTTTGAAAGAGAGAATTTTTTATCTAGTCTCACAATGAAAACGTTTGTTTTTAGAAGAAATGTTCTTTGTGAATTAGTTGAAAGTTTTTGTGTAATCTGAATATTGTGAGAATGTGTTTGCTAAAAAAAAAAAAGGAATTTATATTATTACTTGATGTTTCAAGAAGTTTCTGTTTGGTACTAAATGAAATTTAGATTTTGTACTTCTGAAAATAAATACGATAAATCTTACCGCCGAAAGAAAATTTTCACCAAAGAGTAAATTCTGTTGAATAGAACTGAGTGAGAGAGTTTCTTGAATTGTGTCCTGAAAAGCTGAAATTATGTTTGGTAAACTTGTACTTTCAGATGACTTTCTTTAAGTAATTTCTTGCTGGTAAAGAACTGTAAAAAGCTGGAATATCCAAGTTAAATTTCTTTAGATGTGTCTTGTTGACTTTTAAAAGGTTTCACTGGTTCGATACGTTCGCGCTCCCTATTTATTTGGTTCTGTGTCACATGACCAGCTCCAGACTGTCGTTCCAAATATTGGCTGCAAAGCCTGATTGCTTAGGTGTTTTTTATATTTATTATTAACGAGCCTATGCGAAAATTTATTTTGACCAATGGAAAAGGGAACGGCTTACAAACTGAGAAAAAAGTAACGAAAATCGTTAAGTGAAATTGCTTTTCGATATAAATAGGCAGAGAAAGTTGAATCAAGGCAGATAGAGAGAGAAAAACCAGAAAGAAGCAGGAAGCAGAAAGCCAGTGTTCCATGCGTCTGAATAACGCCGGTGTCAAATTACACACTGATACATTATCAGCTTCTAGTGAGAGCAGAGCAATTTCAAAGAACTCTATTCGATTCCAAATCTAAGTATCTTTTCCTTTCATTTATTTTTAATACAACCGTATAATTTTTATGTGAAAAAGAACTCTCACTTTGTTTTAAACATTTTGGAATATTAATTTGTGTCCGATGATTTAATTATGAACATTTTCTCTTCTTGGCAATTCATCGAAACTGCGAACTTTAAATATTTGATTCCTTTTTGTAGCAAGCTACTAACAACAACTTCAAATGTGTAAATTTGTAAATAAATTCCTCATCTTGTTTTGTTAAATACATGTCTGTTTCCTCGTCATTATCCCTCAATACTTCAGCTGGATTATGGACGTTATCCGAAGATAACCACGTAAACACATAACCCACACGTAAACACCACACATTCTCCTCCTCAACTACCACATTTTCGAAAAAATAAGTTATTTGTCTCAAAATTTATTATCCCCTTTTCCGGGCGAACAAATATTTAATAAAATTTTCTTTTCTTTTCTTTTAATAAAATTGCTTTGGTTTTTTATATCTCACTGAATACCTCTCTCGTCATTATTTTTTACGGTGCACCTTGTTGTCACTTGATCTCCATTCTTTTTTAACCGAACCCACAAATATACATTCATTAATAGTTTTCTTTTTTCATAATTTGTGCTAATTTTTAACAGATCACGACATCTATCAGAAAGATGAAATTTAAATTTTTATTATTGCATTATTGCACCAAAAATACTAAAAAAAAACAGTAAACACATCATCAGAAATGTTAGCAAATGAGCACAAATAGTTATTAATTTTTTAAAAAATTAGTAATTAAAATTAATTGTAACTACATGTACAAGAATGCCGTTTTTGTTTGATTAATAAAAAAAAGTTAAATTTAAAAATTAACCATAAAAAATGCGTATATTGTCGAAAATTCCTTCTTCCACAATCTATCTGCGTTAAATGCTTATTACCTAAACAATAATAATAAATAGGTTGTTTTTCAACATAAAGTAATCAAATCCCACTGTCTCGATCTCTAAGTGTAGAAACGTCCTTTCCACTTGAGAAGTTTTATCAGCTTTTGTTCAGCCTTTTACAAGGCTAAGCCAATCAAAATAAATATGATCAAATAAAGAAAATATAAAGACAAAAAATATAAGAGTTACTTCTCTTACTTTCGAGGAAAAAAGTTAAAAGAACTTTTCGCGGGACTTTTCATACGTGACAAGTTGATTCTTAAGAAGATGGTGATTGCCAAGAAGTGGATCCTTTCCAAATATTTTGATGGCAAAGCCAAGGCTTCTGATATAAAACTGGAAACAGAAGAACTCTCTGAGACACTTAAGGATGGCGGTAATTATTTTTTTATTAACTTTTAAAACAACTAATTAACCGTGACGAGTCCTACAAACCCACGTTTTTGCTGTTCAAATATTTTTTTTGATTAAAAATTGTTTGTATCGTTTACATTTAAATACTTAAAACAACGTTTTTACATTGAACTTGATTAATCATTTGTTAAATTTTTGTCAGATCGGATAACTTTGTTAGATTTTCAATACTTTCGTTAATTCTAAAAAACAATCCAATCTATAGTCGTCTTTTTTCACTTCAATGACACTTGGACATGCTGTGTCTGCAATCGTGTCGGAGATCATAAATGTTTATTGTTTTTCGATTGGATCATAGACTACTTTTTATCTTTTCGTTTTCAAAGTTATTCGCAATGTTTGCTAACTTTCATAGTATAAACTTAAAAATATAATTTCAATGTAAGTAGCTTTAGTTTATGGCTAAATTTAGCAAAATGTTCATGTGTCCTGACTATTGATGTCATTGTCATCTTATTTGAATGGGACTGACATTTTTTTGTTGTTCAAAATTTTGTTTGTTCGTTATTCTTCCAAGATAATGATTTTAAAAAAAAATCCGTGTTCATAATGCAGAAAAATGTTCACTTTTTAATATTTTTTTGTTGTTGCGCATCTATTCTAAATAAAAAAGTTTTTTTTTTATTGTAGAAATGCAGGTAAACTAAACAAGTACTGACCAAAAACTCCTTTTTTATTCGAATGGTTTTATAAAGAGACTGGGAAAAAAAGCTTTAAACTTTTTTATTTTATTGTAATTTTTCCGATAAAAATCTTCGGTAATTTCAAAACTTTTCTCACGCGCTCCACAACTAATTTATCTTTTTAAACTAAAAATTATCAGATTTTGAAATTTTAAAAAAGTTACCATAGTTTGTTTTTTTGTTTGTTTAACAATCAAATCATGCGTTCATTAGTGGAAGTTTTTTTTTTTTTTTAACTTGTCGTACTAATTAGTAACTAAATTAAGAGACTGTCCCCCCGCCAAATATGTTTTTTTTTCTGAAAATATTTTTTGTAGATTGCTATAGGTATCTCCACCTAATTCACCGAAAAAGCAGCACAGTATCTTACAGCTATAATTCTCAAAATGTGTGTGTATGCGTGTGTGCGCGTGTGTGTATGTGCGTGTGATCGGATGTTGTTTATGCGTTTCCACAGTTTTCATCCGATTTTGATTAATTTTTTTTTGTTTGATAGATAATTTTCCAGTGCCGGTTTTGAGTCCAAATTGTTGGCGACATTGGCTCTCCACTACTTCCTGTCCATTATATAATTGAATTCTCAACAACGTTTTTTTTTGTTTTTTTTTTGTTCTTGGATATCATTCATAAAACCTTTAATAAAAATAGTTTAAATTAGTAAAATAATATTATTTATTACAGATCCCTTTCAGCCCACCCCCATTCAAATTGTTATCTCCCCCCCCTCCCCCATTTGCGGATGTGCCTCAGTTGCACCCAAATGTTGTTACTAATTGATTTTCGGGTCGGCTGACTTTAAACTTAAACTGCTCCAATTGAACGGCAAAAATTCCCCGTAACGAAACATCCAGTCAAAGATTGGTTATACTGCTAATGATGAAAAAAAGGCCGCAAACTAAACATCATAAAAAAAGAAGTTTTATTGTCAGAACGCTTAAAAAGTAGATCTTTATCCACGCACCACGTCATAAACAGAATGTGACACAACGTCGAAATTTAATGTGCGGAACCGTTCAAAAATTGCTCAAGCAATTCCTTGGAGGAATCGAACAATGATTCTAGCCCCCTCACGAAGGAGAGGTATTATTACCTGAAAGTATACTTCCCAGGGACTTGCTAAATATCCATTTCAAGCTACCCCGGGATTCTTTTATTTGCTTTACAACCCCAAGACAAACTGAGACGTGTACTTTTTTTTTCTATAGTGGTGGAAGTAACCTCTGATATTTTAAAGTAAACTTAAAAAGAATTGTTTCCAATCAGATTAATTATACTTTAAATCAGCTAATATTCCCCAAATAAAGTTTCAGACAAGCAAAACACCAAAAATGAACTGAACTTGAAGACAAGGATTATGGCAGCATTCGGTATTCATCCACGAGAAACGAATATGGCACAAGGCCGGTTTTATTGTGGGTTTCTCCGAGTCAATTAGACGGGTTCAGGCCCTGTCTACCTCCCCGGACGAAACCTTGCCCTTCGGCAAAGCCTCGTCCGGGTTCCTCTCTGCTAACACAGAGAGTTCGACAGAAGGCGTACGCAGTCAGAGACCGCTCAACACCATTCTAAAGGCAGCATTCACCAATTATGGCAGCATTCACCAACAAGGAGACCGTCCAGAAGATTTTCAAGAGATTCTGAAGTCAACTGGAGGCTGTGGTTGAAGCCAATGGCAATTTTATCGAATAAATTTACTCTTTAGTATTTCAATATATTTTTGTGTAATTTTTGTAAATATATGTTAAAATGAGATGTCAGTGTTATTTTCATTTTTGCATAATTTAGAAGACAATTTATCCATCGCACCCTGTATATGTATAACAAACCAAATTTTATATATTTATAAGTACCAATGATATATTTATAAGCAATCAAATTGTATATATCTATTATTTAAAAGTCTAATTTTTTACTTGATACTTTTGATTCTTTTTTTTGTCAGAAATTCTCTGTGAAGCTGTTTGGCTCACTGTGGATCCTTATATGCGGTAAGTTTATTGAAATAAATTGTAATTTCTTATTTGAGGGATGTCATAGAATGTTAGCATAATACCCATCAAAAATGAAGAGACTATTTATGTAGGGATTGTCATTACTACTTGTGCAGAAACAAAATGCCAGCCCTAGGTACTTTTACCTAGGACCATAGCTTTTCTTTCTTGGCCTTTTGGCTGGGATCAAAGTGTAATACCTGTTCTATTTCTTTTACTATGTTTTTGTACTATGGTGTAAGATACAGTAGTATTTTTATGTGTAACTGCACTTCATGCTCTAACGAAGGCACAAAAAAAGATGATATTGTTTTATTAAGTGTTTACATATAAGCAAATTCCTGATGAAATTCATTATTATTCACCAATTATCTCATGGCTTTTCTGCGCTTTTCCTGGTTCACAATTAAATAAAATTTGATTTGTTTAGTTCAGTTATTTCCAAAATGGGTGGTATCATCCCCCTGGTGACAGTAAGAAAAATAAAGGGAAGCCAGAGGGCAGTAGTGTCACATCAAAACTGTAACACACACACACACACACACACACACACACACACACACACAATCACATCTGAAGTGCATCTTGCTTTCACTTTTCAATGTATCTCATTTATATGAGAATTATTATAGGAAATACTAAGATACTCATCAGGCATGCAATACTAACAGCCAGAAAATCCAATCAAAGGTTGACCATACATTGGGGGGGGGGGCTTAGGATTGTGTTTTGGTATGCAAGGAGGCAATAACACCAAAACCTTAGCAACCACTGGTTTAGATGTTTACAAAGCACACACATACACACTCTCTCTCACACACACAGGCACACAGACACACACACATATACACACAGAATGTATGTATATATATATATATATATATATATATATATTATATTTATGCTCTACTTTTGTATCGCATTATTTTTTTAAAATAATAACAAAAATACTAAAGAACTTTGGATTATTTAACTAACGAGTTCTTTCCTATTTTCTATATATTCTTCACACACACACACACACACACACACACACACACACATATGTATATATATATAGTTCTAGTTTGTGCACCTCAGCGTAGTGTAATGGTTAGCAAGCTTGTCTCACTAAGACAGTTACGGGTGAATAGTGAGTTCGATCCTCACTGTGTGCTCCATACTTTCAGCTTTGTGCTACATCTAAGCTACGCTTGATGTGGTGTAATAGTTAGCAACCTTGTCTTGCTAAAACAATTGCAACTGAATGGTGAGTTTGATCCTCACTGGGTGCCTCATACTTTTGGCCATGTGCCACATCTGAGCTACACTTGGAAAATCACTATATAAGTTCTAGTTTTCTTTATGAAAAAAAAATTTGCCTCCAAAATGGCAATAATTTACAGAAACAACACTTGTAACTGTTGGAATGAAAATATATATATATTTTTTTTTGTCTTTGTTTTCAGCATTTTTATTGACAGTATAAAGGAAGGGGAGGTTATGTTTGGATCTCAAGTGGCAAGGTGAGAATCCTTTCTTTTTCTCTCATGTTTTTTTTTTTTTATTCTGCTAACGATGTAATGGCTAAGAATCAATCTATTGATTATCTATTTATTTAAATTTAAAAACTTTCATCTGAGCATGATACTAAAAATTTGGTAGAGAGTCAAAAAAAAAATAGCTTCAAAGACAGATGTATGAAGTTTTAGATTTCGGAATCAGCCATGGGAGATGAAAAATTCTTTTCTTCTTTCTCTCCATTTACACCATCCTGAATTGTTGATTGCCACATCTTTCTGGAGAGTTGTGAGAAAAATAAATAAAAGCAATGGACTAAGATGTTCTAATTATTTTCACCTAATGTTTCTGTTATATAGGAATAAAGTGTCACTGCTGACACTTGAGTTTGAACATAGATCGCCAGTGAGCAAACAAGGACGATCCCATTATTGAATTAAGTAGACCATGGAGGAAATGCATATGTGGGAGGTAGCGTGTTTCTAATTGATCCTTATATTCTAGTCTATCCTCTATACTATTCAGATTGCTATTCCTCTTCTATATTTTATTGTTATATGGATCGCTATTCTCTACTCTATTCACTATACTATTTCTCTATTTGGATCACTATACAGATTACTGTTCAAGTGAGTATTATCAAGCAAGTACTACTATTAGTGCGAGTGTTATTCAAAGGTATCTGACACCAGTATTGTTCAATGGCGTACTTTAGTTGTATCTGCGATTACAAAGTCTCTACTACAACGTGGATTACAAAAGTGACAATGAGCATTTGTTGGCATCACAAAAGTGGCAACGATAGTTCGTTGTCCTCACAAAAAATTTCCATCAGTGAAGAAAGGTGATTGCTGATGACAACCCCATTTAAACATTTATGTTTGAACATGTAAGAATATTTTTTGTACATCCCATTGTCCATCAAAAATATTTTCTTTATTGTTTTATTCATTAAGAAAAAAATACTTTTAAATCTTATTTTGCTTTTCTATTTTCATTTCAATAATTTTTTTACCATTAAGATAGTGATATTTTGTGATAGATAGCAATATATATATATATATATATATATATATATATATATATATATATATATATATATATGTGAAAAGTGAATATAAATATAAATAAATATATATATATGTATAATTATTTATATATTATATATTGTTACTTATTAGAAAGCGCTCAATATCAGAGATAGAGCTAACATATTTGGTTGGATAGATGTGAGTTTGTGACCCTGGGTTTCACGCTTTTAGCGATCGTCAGACAAACTGATTAATGTTTTAAAAATTTGGGTTTATGTAGATTGCGTGTATTGGTGTTATTGTGGAAGTGGTGGGGAATTTCGTCGTTTTGTCATTCATCGTACTAACGCAAAACATCAATGTAGGCAGACACATATACATATACATACTTGGTCGTCCGTCGGGACTCATACATCTATATAAACATATGTAGACAGTTTCGGCTATGACACATGTATGTATACGGGTGGTGTTATGTCTATACATACGCATTTGTATGTTGAAATGTTGAAATTTAAACATTGGAAGTGTGGCGGAAATTTCTCGTTATTGTCTCGTGAATGTATCCATGTCATATTATGAAATTTTTTTTTTTTTTTTTTTTTCCGTTGAAAAATATTTGAAAAATATATTCTCGCATGTATGTATATATGTGTGGTGGGGTTTGTGTAAAATTATGATAGGTAAAAATTATTATTATAATTATTTATATTTATTTTTAAATTTTTGAAAAAAATGGGGGTTTATTTGTTATATTTAAAGCTGGTTATTTGTTTGTTATTGGTGACTGTGTATATGTAACAGGTAAAAATTGTAATCCTTATTGTTTAATTTATATGGTGATGTTTAATTTAATAACGGGTTTTATATGATATGATGTGATAGTAATGTTTCAAAGGATTGGAGACAATGCTATTTAGGTTTTAGCTAATAGTTATTGTAAACGGGAAGAAATTGCAGATTGGTAGAAATGATTAGTAACGGTGGTGGGAGAATGATAAAACCATGAATGTAGTTATAGTGGTGGTAGCTTGAACTAAAAAGTGGTTGTTGGTGTTTTATTTTTGTTTTATTTTGTTATATGTATTAATTTATTTTGGTATAAATCCTGATAATAGGTATTCTATGTAAAATTATGGTAGTTGAAGATTGCTATAATTTTTAATTACAAAATTATTATTATTATATTAAAGCTGCCTGGTGTATGTTCTCATGGTTACATATGGAAATTATATCTGATCATATTGTTTTAAAGTATTAAATATGCTGGGGGGGGTAATAAAGATTGTAGTGGATTATATGTTAATAGTGGGTGTGATGTGTAAGTGATGGTGCTGTGTGTAGGTGGTAATGATAATATTGATAGTTAATAGATATTGTAAGGTGGTAAAAGTGATTACTAATGGTGGTGCAATATTAATAATGATAGGTGCAATTATTTTGATGGTATCTTGAAATTAAATTGTGATTGTTGGTGGTTTGTCTGTTTTATCCGTTTGGTATGAATTCGGATAATAGATACTTGTTCTCATGCCTACATTTGGAGATTATCTCTGATTTTTTGTTTAGCAAGTTCTTTTTGCGGTTTGTGTGATATTATTGCTACTTTTTTTCGTGTGTAGGCAAAGTAGGCATTTTTTCAAATAATGTTGTTGTAGGCAGGGGCTTTTTCAATATTTCCCAACTTATTGTTGGTGTGATGTTTTGTCTTTTTTTGCTGCCATATGTATGTAGAAAGTGTTGTGCTGTTCGAATATTTCCTGTTGTTGAATGAAAGGTTGTGATTGTTATTCCTCATCTTGAATGGACCTTCGGTGGCAACCGATGTAGTGCATAGTGTTGTTGTTTGTACTTACCTTGGCCTCGTATATTGTGTTCGTAATTTGGCAATTTCCTGGAGTGGACATGTTGCTCTGTTTCTGCAGTTGCATATAGGATCCTTGGTTACATTTTTGTAGGTTGTCATTTTTTTTGTGGTTTTTGATTATATCTGTTATGTTTTTTTGTACAGCTGTAACTGATCTTTACGTTATTTTTGTTAAATATTTTTGATAATTTGTTTTCTTCAGTGAAGTGTTTTTCTATTAAGTTTAGGAATATTTTTGCCTATGTTCGTTTTAACAGTTTTGTTATATGGTGGGTTAAACCAGATAATGTTTCTCTTTCTGTTTCTGCGTTTTGGCTGTGGAGGTATATATTGTAGTTGTTGTGTGTAACCACTTGCTTTTAGTGCTTCGTTGTATGGTGCTATTTTGCTATTGAAAATTTGCATGTTAGATGAGTTCTCAGATAGTCTGCGGCTGATTGACTTTGGTATTTGTTTGATGATAGAAGGTGGATGGTTGGAGGATGTGTGTACATAAGTTGGTGTGTCATTTTCTTTTTTGTATGGTTCATATGTGTTGTTGATCAGGTTAAGAGTAACGTCAAGGAAGTTTACTATAGTTGTGCCTGTATTTATCTCTATTTTGAATTATGGCATATAAGGCACACTTTTTTTTACTAAAAATATCTTTCAAAATCTCCCTATACCATATGTAGGTTTACTAATTTTACTGAGTGCTAATTTTTTCTTGATTTGCCCTGCTGAAATTGGGATGCCTCTTATACACTTGTGTGTTTTATATGCCGTCAAATACGGTATATCAGGAACAAACTGGAATGAGTCTGAAATACAATACTCAGATTAAAACTGTTAAACAGGATCAAGAACTTCATCCAGCCACTTGGCCAACTCATGTTGGGCAGTGACAAAATAGGCCAAAGTGGAACATTTATTTTATGAACTTTAGGCAAACCATACATCCTAGGATGCTAGGAGTCAACAGATCGAATTCTGTTTTGAGAGGAATATTCTTTTATGAAATTCAAGAAATCTCTTCTGAAATTTAACTTCCATTATCATGGTGTCATTAAATGATGTATCACTTAATTTTTAATCAAGACTATACTTTTGAATCTGTTATGGTCCAGTTCCTTGTACCACGTTGATAGTCCAAGGTAGTATCAATAAAGGACAACTCGAACACGGATATGGAATAACACAGATATATTACAATCAGGAATATATACAGAGAGGTAGAAAGTGTTAGTATGAACAATCAGGTTTAGTAGTAATTGTCTGAACGCGACTCTATTTCAGACTTCCTCTGACTCGACTGTCTGACTTGCTCGCTCTGACTGACAGACTTCTGACGGACCTCACTCCAGACTTCAGACTGAATGGTATTTAATCATGAGGGCATCATGTGACACAAGGCTGGTTTAACGTGGGATATCCAAGCCTGTGGGCTCGGTCAAAAATATGCCCTTTGAACCCATACAAACGGGTTCAGGGTCAGTTTATCTTCCCGAAAGAGACTCCGCCCTTCGGCATAGCCTTGTTCGGGTTCCTCCCCGCCCAAAGGCAGAGAGTTCAACCGATCTGCCAGTTGCCCGACTTCAGACTGAACTCTCTGCTTCCTCTTGAGGTGCAGTATTTATTACGTATGGAATAGTCCATTATGTTATTATGGGTAAGGTCCCATAACAGTATCCAACTTTTTGATTAATAAAATGTTCCCTGTTTTAACAATACAGTTTAGATGGTGTGAAACATGCCTTTTCGTACACTCACACAATGTCACACGATAACCCTCTACCTTGAGTGGTTCTTGGGTCTTATATTGGGTGAACATTAGTATAAAAAAATATTCCACATGTTTTCCTTAAAGTAATAATTTGCATTTACCCTGACATTGATGTACAATCAATTTCTTGCAATTAACATTAAAATTTGATCTGTCCTATAATTCAACACAGAATTAGCTGCATATCATGAAATTAAAACAACTTCATTTAGGTTGACTGATTTACATTTTATCTTTAAAAAAAAAAAAAGAAGCATTATCATGTCAGCCCCAGGATGGACTGTAGGGAGCATTTACTTAATCCTGACAAATTAAATGAGTGTTCACTCTTTGCTTGTTCTGTTTGGCAATATTCACTTTCATAAGTTATCACTTATATAAAAATAAAAATGAAATTGTTTTGTTGTCTTGTTCTTTTTTTTCAGAGTGCTAAAAAGTAATAATTCTAAATATCCAGAAGGCACATATGTTCTTGGCCAGATGGGTTGGTGCACTCATTCTATTGTTTCGAATGAAAGTCAAGTCGAGAAATTACCCGAGATGGGAGATCTTCCTCTATCCCTTGCTCTTGGAATTATGGGAATGCCTGGGTAAGTAGAAAATGACATTCTTAATTTTAGGGGGTACAAAAATATGTTTTGCGTGTGAAGAGATATTATTATTATAAATAAATAAATAAAAATAAAAATATAAAATAATAATAATAATGAATATTATGAATAAAATAAAACAATAACATTAAAACTTTGTATAAAATAAATTATAAAAATAATGAAAATTCTCCCAGCATGCAACAAAAACTGTTCCTGTCAGAAAACAGATATCCTGCCAAAAGACGTTGAATTCAATATCTTTGTTACTGACCGGCAGACAGTCAACATGTGTCCCAACTTCTCTCTCTGGGACATTGCTTGTAATAATATGAAGTGACTTCTTCCTTTCATTACAAACAGCCTCTAAAACACTTGTAGCCAAAAATGCACACACCAGTACACATAAAAATAAATAAATTGTATGATATTAATGTGCAATTTAACATGTCTTTTACTGTTATCTCTGTGTATGTTTTATTCATGGGAAGTATGTTTTTATTTCCTGTGAACATGAGGCTATTTCTACTGCTATGATGTGAGTGATTCCACAAGTGGAAAAGGGATTACTAATTCTTGTTCTTTTTAGCATCTTTGATTAAACTAAATTTTTTTTTCTTTTCTTTCAAGTTTAAGATGGCCACTTGAATCTTTTATTGCAGAATGACGGCTTATTTTGGCTTTTTGGAAAAGTGTGAACCTAAAGCAGGAGAAATTGTTTTGGTCAATGCTGCTGCTGGTGCTGTTGGTAGTGCTGTTGGACAAATAGCCAAGATAAAGGTAACTTCTTTACACATAAGACAAAATCTGTTTTATTTGAATCTATCTCCAGAGCTTATAATTTTGATAACTGACCACTAAATTATGTAATCCTCAATCACAAATTTGTTTCAGGTGAAAGGGATATTCACTGATGAAGAATAAATGTAAATGTCACTGAAAGAATAAAGTTCATACATGGACAATTTTATGCACTTAAAAAAGAATTTAATTTGAGTTCAGTTTCTTAAAATTTTTAAATAAACTCATTTACCTAAGAAACAGTGTTACATTTGTTGAATCATTAGATTAAAAAATATACTTACTATGAAAATAGAAAGTTAGTTTCTAATGTCTACTAAATCAGAATCATTGCCCAAAATTGAAGATTTTCAACTTGTAGTTTTTATATTATATAATTGATGATATGAGTAGGATTTCTTAAATATATTTTAAAAACATTAATTAACCATTAGGATTTATCAATACAGTAACACAGCAAATTCTGGTGATGGTTGCAGTGGTCAGTTATTGTGCACCAGAAATTAATTTGTAGTTTTATATATATAGCCTAAGATAGGGGCAAGCAAAAATTGGTGGACCCTTTAAAAATGAGGGCACCATTGCAATTACTAAGGGCAACGCAACAGTTTTTTTTTCAAATTTGCAAGATTTGTTTTTTATTTGTAAAAAGTAATAATGTAAAATCTTTAAAAAAATAATTGATAAAAATAAACGAAAAGCATTAAAATCAAATATTTTTATTGTCAAATAAATTATGACTAGAATTATTAGCAATGATACATTGCAGTGAAACATTTTCAAGAAAAAAATCAAACATTACAACATTATTAGCTTAGAATATGTTGTGGAAGGAATGAGATTATTGTATTACTGTATAAAAATATAAAACTTTTTCAGCCTAAAATCAAAATAACTATCAAATAATTTTTGTTGCCTAGCATTCAGAAAACCTTCCTCTACTCAAGCAATTTGTCAGAATCGAAAAAATATAATTTTCTATTATTTTGGATGGGGGGGGATTCTTGTTTACAATATAAATACATCAAACTGATCCCTGACTTTTTAACATTCATGTAGTTTTCTTTGCTTTTTTTGAGAGGACCAGTCTATTTAAGTATTGCTGTTTTAAAATGTAGTGTATTATTACTATGTAATGTATGTCTGTATACATATTCATTTCATTTCTGGTAGACATAAATGTTGCAAGATGGAAATAAACTTGTAACATTTGTTGAAATTCCTTTAATCGACTTCTTTTCTTTGAAAATATATCTTCATAGATCTCTAGTCAAATTTTTTCTTGGAAAATCCCCACAACCACCTTATTAAGAAAAACTTAACATTTTTCATTCATTTTCAAAAAATTTTTTTTTAAATTATTAAAAAAAAAATTTTTTTTAAAGATGAAGGCAAAAATTACCATGGATGTGTCATGTTATTTTAAGGGCACCTTGGCATTAAATACACTCATCCCTATATGTATATATATATATGTATATATATATATGTATATATATATTAAAGAAAAACAAAAACAATTGATGGAACCAATAGACAACTTGCCAAAACCTAAAACACTTATAATGCTGCGGTACGTCCTGGTCCCTACACTAAATGACAATGCTATTTGATCACTGCTGTGTCTGTGGTTGAATCTTGCAGCTAGCCATGGAGTTGGTCACTTAGATCCAAACCACACCCTGTCCCACATTGTGTTTGTTTTGATCTCAAGGCAGGTAAGAGCTGAATAATCACTGGATAGGTGTCATTCAGGTGCGACAATTTTATAATGTTCTTTCCCTATTATGAGCTCTTTTATTGTGGGGTTTATTATAAACTTTACTATTATGGGCTTAATTATAAGCTTTACTATTATGAACTTTATTATAAGCTTTACTATTATGGGCTTTATTATAAGCTTTACTATTATGGGCTTTATTATAAGCTTTACTATTATGAACTTTATTATAAGCTTTACTATTATGGGCTTAATTATAAGCTTTACTATTATGGGCTTTATTATAAGCTTTACTATTTTGAACTTTATTATAAGCTTTACTATTATGGGCTTAATTATAATCTTTACTATTATGGGCTTTATTATAAAACTTTACTATTATGGGCTTTATTATAAACTTTACTATTATGAACTTTATTATAAGCTTTACTATTATAATAATTATAAGCTTTACTATTATGGGCTTTATTATAAGCTTTACTATTTTGAACTTTATTATAAGCTTTACTATTATGGGCTTAATTATAATCTTTACTATTATGGGCTTAATTATAAGCTTTACTATTATGAACTTTATTATAAGCTTTACTATTATGGGCTTAATTATAAGCTTTACTATTATGGGCTTAATTATAAGCTTTACTATTATGGGCTTAATTATAAACTTTACTATTATGGGCTTTATTATAAACTTTACTATTATGAACTTTATTATAAGTTTTACTATTATGGGCTTTATTATAAACTTTACTATTATGAACTTTATTATAAGCTTTACTATTATGGGCTTTATTCAACTTTATGCATTCATCTTGCTATTTCTTTTATTCTTTTATGCATACCAGCCTTATTCTTTCTAAATTAGGACACTTTTTGTTGAGTTATTCATATTTACTTACTTGCATATATTCCTAATTTTCTAATTCTGTACCATTCCTCTCCATTACTTGCTGTTTCTTTTTCATCATCTCAATAATTTCCTCTTCTTTTTTTCTTGTTTCTATTTCCTTGAGATGATCTCATTCATCATTGTCACAAGGTTAATGTATTCCAACACATTTTACCCACAATTATTTAATTAAAAATCAGATACAAATGTTTAAGAAAAAAATATTTTGTCACCCATAACTTTCTACAGATTATTTTCAATTTATTCATTTAAATCAGAAGGAAATATCCTGGATCCACAGAAATTATATAAATTGGCTTTATGTGTATAAGGCACAAAACCCTCAGTATCCCTGCATAAAAAAACAGTTACATTTTTGGTTCATCAACAAAAATGGAGTCATCAATTGAAAATAATTATTTCTCATCTCTTTATGTGATTTTTTGTATTGGTGCAAAATATTTTTTCTTTTTTTCTCTAGGAATGTAAAGTGATCGCATTTGCTGGGACTGCGGAAAAATGCACTTGGTTAAAAGAAGAGCTTGGTTTTGATCATGTTTTCAACTATAAATGTACAGATCTTGATAAAGCATTGAGTACAGTTGCACCTGAAGGAATTGACTGCTATTTTGATAATGTAAGGAGATTTTCCTTTTCCCTTTCAACCCACCCCCCAACTCCACCCATTTTGATGTCTGTTAATATTTTCTTTTGCTTATATTTATTTTTTAGGTGGGTGGGGACTTTACTTCGACTGTTTTGAAGCACATGAATTCTCTGGGTCGTGTTTGCATCTGTGGAAGCATTTCTGCATACAACTCACAGGCTCCACCGTCAGGTAAATCTGGAAGCCTCTGACTTTTGGTTCTCTAATTCTGAAGATAGAATATTTCTGTAGGTTTACTTTTTTCTTTTTAGAACTTTTTATTTTAAATTGTTTTGAACTAAAATTCTTTATTCTTTTCCAATGGATTTAAAACGCTGCTTTTTCATCTTCGTCGGAGAAATTCCAGAACTTAATCATAAATTACACTATTTCCCACCACTGACAATGAAAGCCAATTTCCATTTAGAAAATTTATTTTATTAGCAAGGTAAAATAAAAAGTATTATAATTATTAGTATTTATAAGTAAGTAAAATAAAAAAGTATTCTAACATGGGAGCAATGAGGAAACTGGAGATGAAAAGGACACTTATACTAAGAATCAAAAAGAGTCAGTTGAAATTTCTAAAACATATAATGAGGAAAGAAGACTTAGAGAATTTGATACTTGCAGGACATTAATAGGAGTAGATAGGTTCACCTGTTGTCTGGTTCACATTCCTCCCTAGTCTTTTGAACAGGAGTAAAGCCTTATCTCTTGTTTCCTGTTTAGGATTAAGCTTCCCGTTCCTTCTAAAGTCTTCTCATTCTCTTTCATTCCCAGTAGCCTCTTACCTTTTAGTGGCATTACCATCTTGCTTAGGGTGAATTGATTATATATATATATATATATATATATATATATATATATATATATATATATATATACACCATATTCCTAATAATATAAATTTTTTATTTTAATGGTGTAGATGGATGGTATATATACATATATATATATATATATATGTATACATATATGTATGTATGAGTAATTATATGTATGTGTATGTGGGTATGTATGTGTAATATATATATATATTATGTTTATATTGTGTTTTTATATATATATATATATATGTTGTGTACTTAGGCAGCAATCCTTCATATATGTTGTGTATTTAGGCAGCAATCCATATATATATATATATATATATGTGTGTGAAAATATATAGAAAATAGGAAAGAACTCGTTAGGTAAATAATCCAAAGTTCTTTAGTATTTTTGTTATTATTTTTAAAAAATAGTGCTTGATACAAAAGTAGAGCATAAATATAATTATTTATTTAAAAATTGGAATCATATTTTAAATAACAATAATTATATATATATATATATATATATATATATATATATATATATATATAACACATGCAACAGAATCTGTTGGGCATATATCTCAAATAGCAGTAATTTTGTTGATACATATAAATAACATGGCATACATGGAATTTACTTATATATCTTCATCCTAAATTTTTGATTCTGACAGGAAATTCATTTGTTTCTACATAGGTAAATACTGTGTGTGCAAAAAGAATCTAAATAAAAAAATATTGATTAATGATAGGCATTAATGGGTTAATTCTTAGGTAGAAACCTATAATTTATTTTTTAAATCTTTTCACCCTAAGGAAGGCAATAAAGCCACTAAGATGCATTGAAGGCAAGATAGGGAAAGATTGAGTAACCTATCTAAAGAGCTTGTGTAAGTGAATGACAGCAGGAGAGTAAAAAGGCAAACATTAAAACCTGTGAAGCATAGGAAGTTGATTAGCCATAATGTTCCAGATCCTAAAGGAACATGTCACATAAAAAAACCTTCACTATATATAACACATGCAACAGAATCTGTTGGGCATATATCTCAAATAGCAGTAATTTTGTTGATACATATAAATAACATGGCATACATGGAATTTACTTATATATCTTCATCCTAAATTTTTGATTCTGACAGGAAATTCATTTGTTTCTACATAGGTAAATACTGTGTGTGCAAAAGAATCTAAATAAAAAAAAATATTGATTAATGATAGGCATTAATGGGTTAATTCTTAGGTAGAAACCTATAATTTATTTTTTTAAATCTTTCACCCTAAGGAAGGCAATAAAGCCACTAAGATGCATTGAAGGCAAGATAGGGAAAGATTGAGTAACCTATCTAAAGAGCTTGTGTAAGTGAATGACAGCAGGAGAGTAAAAAGGCAAACATTAAAACCTGTGAAGCATAGGAAGTTGATTAGCCATAATGTTCCAGATCCTAAAGGAACATGTCACATAAAAAAACCTTCACTTTGTAGGATGCAGAGAAAATGGTGGTGGCATAATTATGCTAATTAAATTTACTGAGCTTAATTAGACTAGCACAAGGTTACAAAAATGGAGTGCCGAATATATCAAACTGACTATACCAGCATCAGTTTGAAAGACAAGCTGGTTTCAATTGTCTGGGTGAATACTCTGGGTTCAAGCAAAAGCAAGAACCTTTCAATTTTATGCAATTGCCTATTCCAACAGTACCATGTCACACATCAAATAAAAACGATCAATCTGCACTGCGCATACTTACCATTCATTATCCCATTTACAATGAAAGACTATCATTTTCAAGTTACTTTAATACTGAAGCAATTACCAGTATCCAAATTTTCACCTCAACAGAGCAGCCCCAGACTTGAAAAGTAAATACTATGCAAGTACAACCAATCATTCAGTCAGTCATGTGCCATGTGTGATAAACGCTTAGGCAATCATGTATCTTTCGATTCATGACTGACGAGGCAGATTGTGTTCCCGCAGTAGGTTGTCAATTCTTTCTGTGGTAGACCAGTTGCCATCCAAGGCTACAGAACCTGGTCTGTCCTGCTATTTACCCATAGCTAGGGGGAGAAGACGAGGATTCATACTTTACCCAAGGGTATTAGCATGTAAGTGAATGTAATAGATTTGACTAGAATTCAAAATCAACTCTCCAATTCTTCAATCCGAGCCGCTATCCATTACTCCACCGTGCCTCCTTTAAATTTTAAATACTGTCTTTAATGAAAGCCTAATTCTTTATTCTCAGAATTTTTGTTTTCAATCATTTTTTTCATTTTGTTTCCTTTTAGGTCCTTATCCTTTCCTAGACATTTTGACAAAGAAGCTAACAGTGAGGGGATTTTTGATTTTCAGCTATAGCGACCGTTTCCACGAGGGCCAAAAACAAATGTTGGAGTGGATTCAAAGTGTAAGACTAATTAGCATCTCCTTTAATTCTTTCTCTTAACAAATTGGATTTACTCTGAAATTTTCTGCCTTAAATATTTTAATCATTATTTTCTGATTTTGTTTACATATGTATATTTATGTTTTTGAAAGATATTTCAACAAATAATTGAAATCTTGAAATATTTACTAACACTTTGAAAAAAAAATTCTGTTACAACATTGAAAATAGCAATGTACACATGTACCCAAATTATGACTATTTTGTACATAATTTTAGGAAAAAAAATATAACTAAAGAAATTTTTTTTTTTTTTTTTTTTTTTTTTTTTTTTTTTTTTTTTGACTAAAGGATCTGTTGTCTTTTCTTTTAGGGTTTGGTCAAATACAAAGAAACCGTGACAGAAGGATTTGAGAATATGCCATCTGCATTTTTTGGTCTCTTTGAAGGCCATAACATTGGCAAGGCTGTTGTAAAGGCCTAAGACAAAAATTGTTACAATTCTACAATGGAGCTCTTTATTTTACAAATTATTTGAGTATCTTCATTTTTGTTGTTTTGATTTCTATGTGTCAGCCAGTTCATTCTTCCTTTCTCAGATCATGTTAAGTTTTGAGTGGACTTATTCACATTATCATCTCTGTTTTGCCACAATGTTTTAACCAAAATTTTGTCATGACAAAAAAGTAACAAGGTTACTCATAGCAATGATTACTGGAATATAGGCAAAATTAACGTGTTTCAATTTGATTAAAATGAAAAGAAATGCTCCCTCAACTAAAACCAGTTTTTAATATAGTTCCTTCCTTTTTGTTGAATGATAAAAATGATTTGATAATTTGTATATTAGAAAAATAAAAAATAGAAAAAAAATTTTCCTCTTTTTTTTTTTGTTTTTTCTAAGATTGACATTTCAGTTTCATTGTTAAAGAGAATGATTGGAAAATTTTTTGCAAAATTTGGCTTTCATCATAAAGCGTCTTATATAGAGCCTTACTGCAAAACTAAGATTATAGAGCTTATGGCTGTATCATGTTGAACCACTAGTTCCTTGTACAATCACTGAAGTTAAGCAATGTTGAAGCTGCACAGTACCTAGATAGATGACTGCTTGGGAATACCAGGTGTTGTAAGCTTGGATAATGGATAAACGAGTGGTGTAATGGATACTGGCTCAGAATTGTTAATCAGAAAGCCAAGTTCCATTTTCAACCTGGGAGGCATTTTATTATATTTAGCCTTTTTTATTTTTTTTCATTAATGGAGAGCAGGATGACATCTTTGTTGTATTCAAAGTCCATTGTTTTGTAATGGTTTGGTCAAAGTTGTATATTCACTTGCACACAAATACTCTTGAGAAAGGTATAAATCCACTTCTTCTCCCCTCAACTATGGGTTAAATAGTAGGATTTGTATTACTAAATAATTATCTCCACCCCTGCCAAATTCTTACAATCTAAAAATATTTTCTGACTTTAAATAACCTGCAAAGCTGTAGTAAATCAATCAATCAATAAAAGATAGTAACATTTTTAGGTCTCAAGTTGAAATGGTAACAAATAGTTATGATGAATAGGAAGAGATTTGTTTTTAACTAAGAGCAGAAGATTCTTGTGCTTTTCAGTCAAAACTGACTTTTCTTTTATAATTAAAGCTTCCTATATGCTAACCAATGTCAAATACCAGATTATAAACACTGCTGATGACAAAAGAAAACTGTAGAAAATTTTGTTGTCCAGTTTTTTTTTATACTAAAAATCTGAATATCCAAATTCCAAATAATAATAAAATAAAGTAAACCTGGCTATACCTGTTAAATACATTATTTGTATTTGCAAACATATGTACATGAATTCAAAAGAGTTAAAAAGGAGATAAAATAATCTTTAGTTGCATTAAAGCCTGTGTCACCCACTGGTGTCGCGTCACAGCGCCAATATGTGACGTCCTCTGGTCACAACGCCACTATGTGACATTGCGCTGTCGGCCCTGAGGTCAACTCCCAGTTGCGGTGCCAAGCTGTAAGGTTTCTTCCACCAGTGTTTTGGGTTTGACTCTTTGTCGCTGCCACCAGCCTGTGTCCTGGTCGTTCCTGGTTTGATACTAGCTTTGTCATTCCCAGCTTACTTCCAACATTGATCTCAAGTCTAACCTACCCATGTTGTGACTTTGATCTTAGGCAGACGAAATCAATCAAGCATCAGGCCGTAGTGCAAGCTGAATCCGGGGTAAAGGTGATATTACACAAGCGTAAGTAAAAGAAGCAATAAAACAAACTCAAGAGGTTCAAATATGTTGAGAAATAACAAATTATCTTTATCCGTCTGTTATATACAGGAGTGTGTTTCTCTTCCAGACCGTTTCTATGGATTTCTGACACTTTTGCGTTTCTTAAGCGAGTTTTGCTATCTTAAGTCGTTTGTCAATATAACTTGCTTTTGGTAGGAAGTCGAAGTCAGAAGGGCGTGGAATTTCTCAGTCAGCTTCTGTGAGGCAATGGTCTTCAACTGCAACTGCGAAAACTCTCGCTCAAACTGACTGCAAAACTGACTGGCTGCCTTGAAACGTTCGTTTATATGGATACTGACCAAAACCTGGTGTGGGGCCTGACGTGGTTTGGGTTCCTAGATAATTCTCAATTCCCAACAAGAATTCTCTTTGTTCTTAGGCCAGGAAAATTAATTACTTCCCATTTTTGTAAGATTAATCACTTTCCATTTCGGGGGTTTCTCCCTCGTCCATGAGGGAAGGTTGGAGGAGAGTTATCCTCCTAGATTCTTCCTCTCTCACATTGGTATCTCATACCAATCCCCTCAGTGGGTGTTAACAACTTCTCCATCTTTCTCATGCATTCACCTCTGCCTATCACCCATGCTACCACTTGACCTTTTTTTTTTTTTTTTCCTTCGGCCAAAACATTTACAAACCCCAGATTGCCAAATAATTCTTATCACATCTTCCTTTCGGGGACACCCAAAATTCACTTAGTTGGGTCTCTCTACTGACTCATCAATCACTGTCAAAACCCGACACCTAGTTTCTTCTGTTAATTCAACTTTTAGCTGGGAGGTCCGTATTTTACCTGAGAATCAAATTCTTTATTTTTCTCATGCCTTAAAATCTTCTTATCACCAAATGTCCGTTTTTGATGACGCTGTGTCTGACATCAACAGTTTGAATAAGCAATAATAATACAATTTTCTTCCTCATGCCAGAATTCTAACACACACCAGATGGTTTCCTTCGTTGGACCCAGGAATTAAAATTAAATGATATCTCTAAAAGATAACTAATATCGCTTCTCTCTGCCTGTACTGCGGTGGTCCCAAGCCCAAATTTTTTTATGGCCACATGTGTCGGTTGGCTTTGTTTTTCTTTCTGAATTCTGTTTCCCTTGGCACATCACTCCCTTATCGTGACATTAATCAGTTTTGACAGAATCTCATATCTTGCTTTTTCTTACGGATTTTCTGTCTCATGCGAAAAGTATCTTTCTCCATAAATAAAATAAAATCTTTTTTTTTAACGTTGATCAGTCTATCTTTCGATATAGCTCTTTCTTACCATAAGTCTTTCCTGTTTTTAATTTCTATGGTTAATTAGTTAGCCAATTACAATAGCTAAATAGTGTCACAAGCCTTTGGGTAGTTGGTCTACAGAAAAAGCTACAGTTTAAAAAAAACTTTTAGTGGTTTTAGTTGTGGGTTAGAAAAAACTTTGATCATCAGCAATCATTCACTGACCATCTAAGGTGTTGTTGGAGATAATTTGTTTGAGGTTGCTGACACATGTTTCTTTCAGCACATGCTGGTTGGGGGTCAACTTTCAGAAGCAGAGATGCAACTGCGTCCAAACTGTTCAAACACAAAAGATGTGGCTCCATAGTTTTTTTCCTAACCCCCACACTGCAACACGTGCTGAGAGAAACATGTCCATGATTTCAAACAAATCATCAACAACAGTAGAGACTGTAAACAAATTGATAGAACGCAAAGACAGATGTATGGTGCTAACCAGCTATGTTTGAACTGGTCATTTTTAGAAAAAAAGAGTACTCCTTTTTTGCGAAGAGTACTACAAGGGAGACAATTCTAAATTATGACATCCCTCTTTTTGTCTGGAGTTTTGCATAACGTCTGGCTATAAGTTGTATTTGGTGGGAGTTCTTATTATTCAACTTGTGGTCAAAATGTCAGGTTTTAAGTATATAAGTTGGTGTTGACTGGCTTCTGGGCTGATCTTGTTGGAGAAGATCTCTGGTGGGGAGCTGAGAGGGATCCTCGGTTGGCTAACTACAGTGTTGTTTCCAGTCTGGGAACAGTCTTCCTTTAGATGCTGCGGATGATCTGTCCAATAGGAGTCTGTACTATATAGGATTTTGGTTCCATGTAACTCCATTTTACAATTGCTGGGGTCTATTTACCAGAGTCCTGGTTTTGTACATGGACAGGTTGTCCTGTGTGGAGTATGGGAATTCCCTAGTATTTTGGTTGTGATATGATTTTTGTGTTGATTGCCTATAGTCAGTTTGCTATTTCGTCTTTCCTTGCCTGATGGTTCATACATTTGACTGGTATGTTACTGGCAAGTTTTCGATTGTATATGAACTCACCTGATGAAGGAATAAAGTCATTTATCAGTGTAGTTCTAAGGTATAGCAAAACCATGTTGACATCATGGTTGCACTCGGCTGATTTCTTCATGGCAGACTTCACAGATTGTGTCCATCACTCTGTCATCACATTAGATTGTGGGTACTGCAGGGATGATGTGTGGTGTTTAAACTTCCACTCCTTTGTGAACTTTGGGAACATGCTGGAACTGTAGTGGGCCCATTATTGCTGATTCAGGTATTTCCTGTTCTCCAAATATTTGTTTGGGCACTTCTTGACTGATAGTCCATCTGTGAAAGTCATGTTCTTCCCTGGTTGATATATGATGACCATGTCATACTTTTACAGGTATTTTCTGAAAAATACACAAGGGAAGTGTTTTCCCTTCGGAAAGTGTCAACTTTTGCTTTTAGCTTGATGATCGCTAGGGAGTGTGATGTTTAAACTTGTTAGCCTCGTTCTCGAACTTCCACAAAATAAATGTCAAAGGCTTTCTTCATCCAACAGTAACAATATGTGGTCAACCTGTTTTGCCTCTGGTATATTCTGTACAGAGAAATACAATTTGCAGCGCTGCTTGAAAAAATGGAATGATTCAACCATATTTTCAGTTGTCATCCATCACATGATCGATTCAATCTCTAGTCTTGACATTTTGGTCTTTTATGTATTTCTTTTTTGATTAATACTTTTTTATTTTTTTATTTATTTTTTTTATTTGAACGATAGATTGGTTTGCCCCAAATAATACAATGATAGAAACAATAATATTGTACTCACAGTTTGTCGGTGAGGATCACTTTCCATGAAGGATTTTTTGTACATGGCGGTCCTTGTCTTTTATTGTCCACCACATATACCAACTATTTTT